CAACTCTGTCCTGGCTGACGTCTTTACTGCCTCTCCTTGTTTTTGATAGCCCTGACAATAATTTACAGAAACAGAATATGCTATTGGAGTCAAGAAAGGTAACCTTGGGCTGAGATTTCAGTAAATCAGTTAGCTGACTTACTGATTAAATGTCACATATTTTCCCAACAAACATTTGTCTGACCAACGAGCAGCAAAGTCAATTTCTGATCTGAGTTGAACACTCAGACAAAATTTTGTTCTTGGTTTTTAAAATGTCTAGTTTTAAATTTATATAGTATCTATTAACAGTGTCAAAAGAAAAAAAACTCTTGGAATCATGTAAAAACCACTGTTTCTCGCATATTACCACCTACATCATTATAAAAGGCCTTGTTTACCAAATCTGGATATACTATTATATATGTGTGCAATGTGTAGAAGCAAATGCACCATCCTCACACACATATATATGTATGTATACAGCAAGAAAATTAAACTGCAAAATTAACAAGCACTATTCAATCCATTGCTTCTTGTTAGTGATCATCGAAAAAGCATGTTTCTGACTTTTGTAACACCATGCCATTTGCAAATTAAATGAATATTATCCTAGGAGCTTCAACAAGTAAAGATATTTGAGCTAAAGAATAAGTGAGTTCTATTTATGAAAATTGTATTACGGCTCCAGGTTTTTATTATTATAAACCTTTCTTAAGAGAGTACTTCACTGAGGGCCACAAAGGCAGAAATAATGCACATGAGCACCAAGAGAAAATGTTTTCAACACGCTCTTGCTGATATTGACTATCTGACTTTACCTAATTTAAACTGTGAGGATGTATCTATGAGAACATCAAAACTGTGTGATGAAAACTTTGACAGCCCCGACTCGATTTACAAGTTAAATTAGAAAATAGCTTTTCAGATTATGCTTAACTTGAAATTAAAGTTACTTTTAGGTTTTTTTTTTTAAACCAAGTCAAAGCAACATACCTCCCTGAAATGTATGACAAATATAATCCCCAAAAGAAATCTCTTTCCACACTCCAAGGCTTCTGCCACTTTCCGAACCTTCGAGATTCTTCTCATTTTCCCCCGTTAACTGAAGCATTCTGAGGCTTTGCTTTTGGAGGTCTTATCTCTTTGGATAGGGCTGCTTTCCCTAGCGTCCTTAAAGTTGTCTACTGTATTGGAATCACACAACGTAAGTCTATTTTGAAAAGAGAATCTAGGATGCAAGATGAAATGGATACTAGATAAAGAATGAGGTAACCCTGGAACCCCTACAAACACTAAAAATACATAGGGAAATAAGGAACTCTGTTTATGAATAAATCCTCCTCTTATCAAGTGGCAGTCCCAGCAGTAACAATATCTGATTCATTTACTTTTGCAGCATCTCCCTACAATTAAGGTGCATCATTTCTTAAAAGTAGTAGAGACTAAATTCTGCAAAGCATGAGACCTTAAATTGTTTTGCCCAAAGGTCGGCATTTCATATTGTAATAATGTTTGCTGTGCTTTGCACCCTGTTGGGTATAAATGGATTCAGTGAAGGGGTTTCCCCTGACAGTGACAAGTGGCTAAGCAATTCAAATTGCAAATGACAGCACATATATATATGTGTATGTGTCACACACACACAGCATACCTATGGCTACTTTAAATCAAATTTACTGGTCAGTCCATTTCCTGGGGAAAGTTTTGTTAGAATGTATTGTTAACATTTGATTAAAATATTTAAGAAAATAATCCTATAAAGTAATTTTGTTGTTAGTAGAAATGAGGTTTCTCAAAGCACTCTTAGAAAGCCACTATTCTATTTATTTCTTAAAAAGTAACTGCTAATGAAACTACTAACTTGCAGAAAAGCTGAGAATCTTTCACAAATTGGTGCAGTCAACACCCTTTGCTACTTTAAATAATAATTTTTTAAAATAACCCAAAGTATAAATAAAATACTCAAAGCCAAAGTATAAATAAAATTTGTCTTCTAGAAATACTATTCATATGAATTATCTAGGAGGTTTCTTTTAAAGAATTGGGAACAAATTCATGTATTTTTACCTGAAATTTCACCAAAGATCTCTTCTGCTATTCTAGCCGCTTCTTTTCTATTTCCTTTGACGATATAGAAATGGGTTAGGAGTGCCAAGAACACTTTAATTAAAAGCTTGAAGAAAAAAAAAGTAGCAAACATTGTAATAAAAATGTTTTTAAAGCCATAGGAAACAGAACCGTCCTCCATTTTGGCTTACACTCTGTATAGGTTCTTGGGACTGCAAAATTTCACTGAGTTATAATTGGTATCATATGACATCTATTTTAAACCTTCTAGCTCTCTGTGCTCCTGTTACGGAGAACTGAGTTTGTAGATTCTAAGCTAACTGTGATTTGGCGACTGCATACACTGACATTCATGGCAATGTGAAATGAACGAAAGAAATTTCCTTCGAACCAGAAACACCAATAGTTCTAGACCTACATTTCTCAGTGTTGTTTAACAAACAGGATTCAAGTCCAAAATGTTTTTACCCCTCAATTCCAGTTTTTACTACGTTCTATTGAAAGGCAGGATTGGAAAGATAGAACAAGCTTCTCAGATCCTGTGGAGATGAAACAAGTTATTTGAAGTTCATAAAAAAGAAGTACTAATATTACATTCTGTGCTTTTGGTGGGAAGTACCAGCCCCTGGAACGCTTCAATATTCTCTTCATGCTGAGGCTATAAAGCCCAAATCTAAAATATGACCAGTTATGAAAGGCTATTTACTCTAAGGCAGTATTTAATAAAAGGCCCAGCTTGGATGCCTCTCCAGACTGGAAGCATTAGACCACTTGCTGTAATAGGTTCATCCATGACAAAGTCCCCTAGTAACATTTCTGATCTTTACTTCCTATTGTCAGGAAAGGTGGTGCTTCCTTCTCGAAAATGTGGGCTATAGTCAATCATGGAGGACTTATAATGAAAAGGATGAAGATGCCCTAGACTCCGGGTGAGGTATCCAAAGAGTCAATCAGTATCTTCCCTAGCTGGATAATATTCTCCTGTAATCCTAACTCTTCAACATGCATCGGCTGGCCAATACAAGTAAAGTTGATTTGTTTAATATACCTCGCCTGGGAAAAATAGATGCAGAAACTCGAAGTCTCCTCTTTCATTCTTGGCTACATTACATTTTCTAAATTTCTACAACCTATTGGAAAAGACAAACCCAAATAAAATTATAGGAGACAACTAAATCAACCTTATTTAATAAATGCTTGATGCAAAACTACAGGAGTTTCTCCTAGCACTCAGACAAATTAGAATGAGAATCAACCCCAAGGCACAATACATAACGTACCCATTTCAGTGTAGTATCTCCACGCCAGCACAAACTTGTGTGAACCTGTGTGGTTTCCATTTGCAAGAACAGATACTAGCATGCAAGGTTTTCTTTACCAAGCTCAGATTACCTAACCAAGCTATTAAAATACATAAACGTAAGTATTTAAGTTCTTTTCATGTTTCTTTCTCCAACTGTTCTGGAAGAAGGTGATCATTTACCCATGTTGGCCCAGTGACGTATCTAGTAATACCTAATATTACTCGATCTTGTTTTGAACCTAATTTTTTCATCTAAAACATGACTGTACTCTTCATTTTACATACCAGAAAAGCTGGCCGTGAGAAGCTTGACGTTCGTACTATGTAAGAGATTATCTTTACTAAATTTGAGCACTACGTTTGAGATGGGCGTAAAAGGCTACTGAAAAGATGAGTTAACTCACAGTATCTTGTAAAGAAGGCAAAACCATCTAGAGCATCAGGGTTTCTAAGCCTCGGCACTACTGACATTTTGGACCAGATAATTCTTTGGTGTGCGATGCCAATGCCCCACTCTTAGCCAGTTGGAACAACCAGAAATATCTCCAGGCATTGCCAGATGTCCCCTAGGGGACAAAATCACCACCGTCACATCCTGCTGAGAATAACTGAGCCATAGCCAAGTGTAAAGGATAACGGAAAATCAACTCCCCAAAGGATTATTGAATACAAATAAAAATCTACTGTAGAGAGCTTTGATTTTCAGAATTTCATATTTTAAAAATCCAGCACAGGATAATACAATTTAGCATCTTTGGGGAATGCAGAGAAGGATAAAATGGCCTGTAAAAAAACTTTGCGAAACTAAACACAGACCTATTATACCGTGACTGAGCTAAAAGTAAGTTTTGGTGTAATATAAATCAGAACATATCACTGGAGACTTTCGTGCTGGTCGAGTGGCTAAGATTCCGAGTTCCCAGTACAAGGGGCCTGGGTCTGATCCTTGGTCAGCAAACTAGATCCCACATGCCACAACTAAGACCTTGAGCAGTCAAATAACTATGTAAATAAATATTAAAAACAACAAAAAAAAAGAATTTATCAATGTAGGGAACTGCTTTTCACTGCTTCCAACAAAGGAGGTGGGAGAAACTGGGCATTGGGCTGTACCCCATAGGCCTGCCAAGCCCTGTACTTGCCCCACCTCAAGATCAAAGAGCCCAGAGTCAGTGATAGAGACATCAATGGTTTAATAGATGGGGAATCTTACACATCTGAAGCAAGGTCCTGGAGTGACACCCCAGTGTGTGCTGCAAGTAACAGGTAGCAGGATGGCAGGACATGGAGATAGGAGGTTTCGCTACTAAGGGAAGGGGCAGATTAGCAGCTATAGGGGAACTGACGTCAGGTGGCTCACCAGTTACCAGGGAAATAGTACAGGGACACACCCCTCACAGCTCCTTTGACAAGCTATCAGGTAGAGATGTTTGATGTAAAGATTAAAGCAAGCACTAGCTGGGGCCAGGTCAAGTACGTAGGAAGGTCAGTCCTGTGAGTAGGCTGCAGGTGAAGCAGGGACTGATGGTATACTAGGTTTCAGTAAATGAAGTCAAAATTCCAATTTTTCTTAAAATAGCTTACAAGATAGAGTATAATTATGTAATTCACATATACAATAGTTTACAGGAGTATTCACTTGTCTTACATAGTAATTCTAGTGAAGTGAAAAATACAGGCTTGTTTGGATCAGGAAACAAAGGCACAATTGAACTTGCTATTCCATGATTAAAACAAAGAATATTCTAGAAAGAAAAGATGACAGAGTAATTAATCAACTAAGATATTTCCATATTTCCTGTTTCACTAACGGACCAAGCAAAACATCAGATTGCACTAAAATTAAAAAAAGCATGTGAGGTAGGTAGGTGGGGGGAGTATTGCTCAATTAGTTAATAATATTCTATTTCTCAAACAAGGCAAATTCAGAAAAATGTCAAAATGTCATTTTGGTCTTTATTTTTGGACAGGTAGCGTGTTTTTATAAACCAGCTTTACATGTGCTACTTTTTGCAACATCAAAAGAAACACAATATATTTTTCATATATTCCTTATCACTGCAAGTTCACTTTCAAATAAATGTAAAAGTAGCAGGGTAGAACAATATGTTTCCACATATTGACCAGTGCAACACTGACAGTTACAATTAAGGTATTCAGGAAGCCTGAAAATTCAGATGTACTAGAACAAGCAAGTTTACTTCCACTTATTAAAGAAAAAAATAAGGAAAATATGCAACTTACATATTTTTCATGCAAGAACATTAAATCCTCTTTCCATGTGAAATAAATGGCAGTTTAATAGTTAAATGATAATTTTGAAGGGAAAAAAAGCTAAGAATAAAACACAAGAAAAAACAGGAGTATGCCTTTAAAAATTAATGAACAGATAAAAACAAATGTTATATAGTTCCCCGCTTTATCAAGAATACTGGCACTGTTTATTTCATATTTATATAATTCAGTTTCTATGCCTAAAAATCCCAGTGAGATCGAATGGTTTGGGTCAGTCTGTTTTTCGTTAACAAAAGAACCCCTAACTTCTAGATATTAAAAACTGTACTCTTGCATTTGTGTTTTAAAACACAAATATATTTCTTATGTATCAGTGGCAACCAATTAACAGACATGTTAAGATACTTTTTTAAAAGTTCTGTGAATGTTGTCATTAAAAAAAATCCTGTAAAGAATCACAATACTGCCAGCGTCTAACTAGCACGTCCACAGTGCCTCACTTTTGTGATTTCACAGTCCTTTATCACAAAAATTTATTCTAATAAGGAGTTCAAAGAATTAATAAGACACACCATGTGGATAATTTGGGGTTTAAAAACCCATGGCTCTGGGCAACAACAATTATAGTTAAAAACATCCATCCACAAAGAGACTGTTCCTAAAATTTTCAGACTCAACTAGCTATAAACAAAATATTCTGGGTCAAGACTTCTGCACACTGACAATACTTATCAGGCATCAGCTAGGCCACAAGTGAAGGGAGGTGACTTCTATCAAAGATCCAGGGTAGCAGCTGATTTTGAGATGGCACACCTCGTACATTCTGCTCGGAAAACACGAAGGCATTGACAGAGGACTAAATTATGCACTGAGAGATGTGGAGGGTTTCTCTGCACTATCATCAACAGTGGGATCGGTCCCTAGTATTTAAAAGGAAGAAGCATTTTCATACATACAACTGAAGACGAAGGCTTGACCTAGGAGAATGCATCCAACAGGATCAGAGAAGAACTCGGAGTATGCAGGCAATTTTTTCCTGGCATTAAAAACCATCAGCATTTTTGGCGTGGTGGATATCTTACCACTTCATGTCAAATATGACTATGACGAAGTGAGCCATTTATTTGAGTGATCAACAAGGAATGAATGCATCCCCTGGTTCTTAACGCAGGAAGCATCTAGTTCGACATGTGACAGGTGCTTCAAACAGGCTGGTTGCTGACAGCCCATTTTACTCAAGAAACCTGATTATATAGAACACTTACTGAGTGTACCCAATAAGTTATGAACATGACTTCAACGTCTAATAAACGTAGTATGAACATGACTTAAAAAAATAGCTCATAGAGTTGTTGTACTTCCCTAAAGAAAACCTGTAAACATCTGGTGAACGTCTAATGGTAGAACATTTAAAACTGGCCAAAAAATGCCCAGGAAACGTTTGGCCCTTCAGCACCCAAAGCTTCCAAAATATAACATTAAAACATCTCTGCTAGAGGGATTTCAGTAGTCTGAAAAATTGCATACCTGAGTGGCTTCAATGCTCTCTCCTAAATTTTAAATAAGTGCAAGGAGTTTCAGCACTCAGGAATTGCATAAGTGTTTATCTTTCCTCAAAATAAAACATTGAATGATATAGAGGTAGCATAACTTACTAAATTAAGTTTAAAATGAAAAAGAAAAAAAGCAAGGTTATTTTCAATAGTCTTAATAGAACTATTACAAGTATTGAAAATCTCACAATTCAGGCTTTCTTCTATCTTGTTTCAGACAGCTCAGTATTCTCAGCCCCCCTTTTACTATATTGATAAGGATATCGATGAGCCCAGGCACCCTTTGGCCCTGTGGCATCTACTGCAACATCAATGAAAGAATCTGGAGTCACCCATCTCAGGAAAACGAGGAAGAGAAAGTTGAATACAGCCAACAGAGCAAAAATGCAGCCTGTCACAGGGCCACAGTGAGAGATGAGTCTGTCCAGCCGTTTGCTCATGGGTAACACAGCTTCTCCTACCACTTGGTCGTACACCTGGTGGGACAGAACCAAAAATGAGCAAAACATCGCAGGCTGCAACAAAACAACGACCTGCACAAGTCAGGAGTGCTTTAGAGATGTAAACAGGAGGCACTTACATTTCACTGTTGTTACAGTAAAGATGTGATGAATGAAACTGCTTACACTTAGTACTGCCATTTGACTCACTTATGGAGTGCCTCCTCTGGACAAATCACGGGGGTGTATTGACCCAGATGAATTTACCATGGCTCCTGTACCCTAGGGGATCCCTATCAATATTTAACCAACTAGGAGAATTCCAAAGTCCTGAGAAGCTGGAATGGCTTTTGGGGTCACCTCTGCCGAGACTTATTTAATTCAGCAGTGACGTCCAAAAGCGGGACTGGCCCTTTAGGACTCCTGATTCAACTACCACCAGGGAGCTACAATCCAGGGCTCAGAGAGGCTCTTCTCTTCACAGCCAGGAGAGGCTTAGTTGCTGTGCACAGGCAAGGAGGAAACAGAAACATTTCATGGGTGCCAAATCAAAGGAGGGGAGAGGGGTAGGGGAAATTTGGGTAGAGGGGACAGGCCAAACACTGGCAAATAAAGTTCACTTCTGAGAATTGGTAAGTAGATGGCTTGCTTTTTTAAGAACTGCTAAGCACTAAACTCTGAAATATTAAAAAAAAAAAAAAAAAAGCTCTCTGAAGTTACTTCAAACACATAAAATGGGCTGGCCTTCGTGTTTTTTAACTGCACTTGGGCATTACTCGTGCTCATTCTCGTGGTATCAGATCTGTAAACTGTCTCGTTTTGACCTCAGGAATGTTCTGATGTGCAGAGCAAGTTCTAAAGATCAATGGTCTCTGAAAGGCACGGGCTGGTTTTGTCGAGTTCCTCGTGTCGAGCATTTTCATACTATTCACAGGGTTCTCCTGGTAAGAACACTGGAGTGGTTTGCCATTTCCTCCTCCAGGAAATGGAGATGGTTAGATAGCATCACTGACTCAATGGACAGGAACTTAAGCCAACCTCAGGAGACAGTGAAGGACAGGGAAGCCTGGCCACAGGGCCACGAAGTGGCAGACACAACTTAGCGACTGAACAATAAATGTCAAGCATTACACTGAGTGGTGAATTATAACTGAAAAAGTATGTTTCCAGCACAAACACCAATTTAATTTCTTGATTAATTTTTCTAAATAGCAGTTAAACTAAGGAGTTTAAAGGGATCAAACATCCTGTGTGAAACAGGTAGAATTAAAAGAGCAACTAGAAACTGACCCGTGTGTCCACCTTTATTTCTAGGTCAGTTAACTTATGATCTCAAGTGACAAAATAATACTTTGCTACTATGGAGAGAATGACAGGCTTGACAATCCATTAGCAATAAGGATTCACTTTCTTCTTTGCATGTATACTATAAACCGTCATAGGGTAAAACTGAAAACAATACAGATGTTCTACTATTACTTTAAGCGTAACTGAAGGAAAATTTGTGGCTTAACTAAAACCCTAATCCACTCCTTTAACACAGGCTGAAAAACTGTCACCATAGTTCTTTGTCCCTGAACTTGTTATGTATAAGAGGGCACACTTCTGAGGTTTGCATGTTGATCAAAAAGGCAAGGCACAATTAGAGATATGGTTCTCAGTCAGGATGGGCCTCACTAAGAAAATCTGCCTAACCAAATATCCCTGCCCGCCACTCCTGAATTCCGCCCCTACCCTCCAGCAAAGGGTCTTGTGAGAATCCAGCAGTGGCAAGGGCACAGGAAAATAGAATGAACTGAGTCTGAAAACACTCCTGAGACAATTCTGCCACGCACTCCCAGCAAGTACTCAGTGCTGTGCCCCAACTTCCACAGGAAAACAAGGAAATGTAGTTATTTCAAACTGGTGGAGTCACTGGTGGAGTTAACGTCTAGAAAATATCTCAGGGTCATTTCAGTCAAAACTGTTTGTTAATACAAATTATCTCATGTTTCAATGGAAAATTTGTATGACAATTTTTGGAGAGTTTTGTTGCCCTTCCATTCAAATACGGGCTCACCTTATGTATGGGAATTTACAATTTAGGTCAGTTAAGACTCTGTAATGACCTAGAGGGGCTGGGTGGGAGGGACCGGATATATGTATGCATGTAGCTGAATCACTTTATTGTATAGCAGAAACTAACACAACATTGTAAAGCAATTTTATATATATATATATATATATATATATATATATACATATATATATATATAAACCCACAAGAAAGCCTTTCTGCTTACTCAGCTCTATCTAGCTCTCAACTTTGGGCTAGAAACTAGTTGCTCCACTGAATCCAGTAAGAGTACCCAGCACTATCTTCTCCAGGCTCCCAACCAACTGTCCTTTTGCATACTAAGTTTCCAAATACTAAGAAGCACAGCATTTCCATTCAGCTTGTTATGTTGTAATAAGAGGCAGGAGGCAGACGAAGTAATGAGAGGCAGTTAAACAAAGATGAAATTGAGTAGAATAACTGAAGTACTGACCTCAAAATAAAGACACATTTCCCACAACTGTACTCTCCCACCTAAGGACATTAACCTATTTCCTGCACCTGTCCTTTTGGAAATTCTCTACTGCTGCTTTCCATTTGTGATCCTACTTACATTTGTCATGTGCATTTGGAATTCTAACTTACTATGTTCCCCATCAGCCCAAAGATGCAAAAATCTCCTTTCAGTTAAAAAAAAAAAAAAAAATCACAGCAGCTAGCAAGAGCCACACAAGTTTTAGGAAGTAGCCTGAATTAAATATTTGTAAGTTACAAAGTTGCCACAACTGGGCTAAGCAAAACCAGGTATTTTCTAGACCTATATGCTTTAGAATTATAAACAGCCTCAAGAAAATGTCTAAAAGTAGATTTTAATATTAGTTTTGCCTCTAATTGTTGTTACTTCTAGAAAAATCTGTAACTCTTATATGGCCAGTTTAATGAAATGTCTAGATACTGCATTACTATTTTTCAGATGTCAAAGGCAATGATCTGACTAGAAACTTAGCCTAGTATACACAAAAAGAAGTCTCATTTGGAAAGAGACCTCATAAATTTAAGCAATAGAGCAGAAATGGTAAACCTATATAAAAGGAGTAAATGTGTATGTGAAACATCAGGTAAGAATTCCAGACACAATCTTCAAATACCCTTCTCTAGCACGTGACGTACTTTTTCAGTTCTCTCTGCAACGTTCCTCCAGGTGTAGAAAGTCTTTACAATGTTATGGATATTTTCTGGAGGTGGCAATGCTCCTGACTTCAGTTGGAAAATAGCTTTTTCCAATCCCTCACACAAAGATTTTACAGAAGGCTCACATAAAATGATAAGATTTTCTGGAAGTACTTCAGGAATTCCACCAACCCTGGTACTTACAACCTTAAAAAGAAAAACAAAACAAAACAAAAAAATGTGATCCACCAGAATTCATCTCAGGTAAACAAGCAAAACCAACTTAAAAAAATGTAACAGACTGCATCTGATTATTTTTCAAAATACACATGCAGAAACCCCAACAATGTAATAAGCCCTCCGAGCTTTTTACCTGTAAACCACAACTGGCTGCTTCCACAATCGCCATGCAGAATGCTTCCGTAAGAGAAGTATTAAGAAAAATATGTCCTTGAACTAAGACATTTCTAACATCCTTGTGTTCTAAGGCTCCCAAGAGACACACTCTGATTTTTGAAACAAGAGAAGAAAGAGGGGAGTAACAATCATGGTATAAAAGAAATATCGTTCATAAGCTTCTAACGTTTTCCATCTCAAAAGACTGGTGTCACCCAACTCTGATCTAAAAGTCATATAAAACTGTTTGGTTAAAAATCATACAGCTATACATATTTCTAACTTCTGTCATAGATCAAATTTCATCCTCTCCAAAATTAGTTTGCATTCCATGAAAAGATTAATACACTTTGATGAGTAAATGTTAAATTATCATTTCTACATAGGAAAATGTCTCTTTTAAATTGAGGCTCCACATGCACATAGCTCACATGTTATCTAAGTTAACAAGGAAGAGAAATGTTTGAATCTGTATGTGCAAAGCAGTTTACATGATTTGGGCCATGCTATTTAAATCACAACTCAGTATGGCTTGAGAATCTGCAAACATTTCCAATCAAAGTAGCTGTTTTTTGTGCATTCTTGGGTGCCCCAACCAGTGTCCCCTAAGGTCAAGTAATACTGGGCTAACAAAAAAATTACGAATACCCTATCTAGGGTTTCCATCTTATATAATTTTTTAAAACAGGCTTTGCATTACTTTGTTTTATCAAGTACATGTAGCAGAAGCAGCCCACTTAATGCAGGCATGAAACCAAAACCAAATTTATGTAAGATATTTTCTCACCCAAGACAATATGGAATCCATTAATACCTGTCATGGAGCTGGTATCTTTCCCGTACTTCTTCCAAAATGATTCTCTTTGGTCCCTCTCCTCCAATTATGAATTTTAAATCAGGATATTTCTGACAGAGTTCAGGTATTATACCACTAAGTAAATCGGTCCCTGAAAACATAAAGTTGAATGTTGGAGATGTTAATAATTAAACTTAAAATTTTTATCAGAACTGAGAACCCACTCACTTTGAAAAGTATTAGCTTACATAAGCAGAGAAACAAATTCCCTTAACCCTTTCCTAGAATGGCGGAATCACTCACAAACCATCAGCGGTCCCCCAAGAATTCTGCAAGTTATATACTGACACCCATTGTTACCGTCTACCCACTCAGTTCGTGGACTATTTTGTTTCAACAGCATTCAAGTTATTCACCTGTGATTACACAACGCCTGTGACTAAAAAAGGCATTGAAGGTAGCTAACATTTCAGTTAAATTTTTCTACAGAACGGGAGAGGTGACTGGAGATCTGGGTCTTATTCCGGCCTTTGTACAAGCAAGGTCTTTGACAATGGGAAAGTTTCCTGATAAAGAAAACGAACAGACTACTGTACCTAAAGTCAAAGGTCTCTCTCAACCACAAATTCTACTGAACTGTGATTCTACCTCCTACTATAGGAAAGGGCTAAGCAGCAAAACATAACTGCTGCCTCCATTTTGTTAAGAATGCAGTTTGTACACAGGATTTTGCAACGAATGCTATGGTATTAGCAAAATTTATAAGAATAGTCCATCTAAACCTGTGATAGCCCACTTGCCCCAAATGACAGTGGATGAAGGTGGCAGGACCTCATGTGCCAGATCATTACAGTCTATAGAACAAAAGGGTGTATGTTGGTCCTTTCTTTCCTTTTAATGAAATACTTTCTCATAATATGTATATACAACCTCAGGTAATAAAAAGCAGCAAAGTAAATTTTGCTCCACTAGTCTGAAAAGTGGCTATACAAAGAGACAGTAGTGATGTTTGAGAATTTAGTTCATTAACAATGACAAACCATACACATTCAAAAGTAAATGTAAAATAAGCCAATTAAAGCTTAAAAAATGCACATAGACACATACACAAGAACTGCACTTCAGTCAATCTTCCCAAATATAGGCAGATTAATTATTAAAAAGATGGCAGGAGAAATAATAAAGGCTCATTTTAACTAAATAATTCAAAGTAGGATTAAATAAACTCTGCTAGTATTTTTAAAATATGACTCCATTAGCAAACTCACATGTGGCATTTATGAATTATGAAACCTTCTCATTAAAATCTTATTTATGAATTATGAAACCTTCTCATTAAAATCTTAGCTATCTCTGTTTCAAGTGTATTATCAAGCCCATCAACTGGATTTCTAGATAAACCAGCTGTTTTACTGACGTCTATCAATCAGCATCCTATAATTCCTTCCCCTCTTTCTTCTAATACAAAGGTTAGAACAACATATAGAGTAATAATCGGAGTCATTAACAACAGCTAACATCTACTGAGTGCTCCCCACAAATAAAAAATGCTCTGGTACCTCTAGCAAGAGCCTAACGCAACAAAACAGACACACAGACTTTCAATTGCCATATTCACACAAAATGGACAAGAAAATTTCTGATTCATAGTTCTTCTAAAGCACAGTCTGACAGTATTTTAAGGAACTTTCTGAATCTATACCTAGGCTAATGGCTGGGCTGAGGATGGAGGGAACAGGAGACCTTAACTTGAGAAGAGCTCAACTCAGGCTGGTTCTCTCTCTTACTTACTGTGTAAACTGGGTGAGTTACTTACCCTCTCTGAGACTCAGTTTCTTTGTTACATGCAGATAACATCTACACTACAGTTGGGAGGGTCAAGTGAGGTACTGTACCACGCACAGGCTTTATCAACTGCAGAATATAAGTGCAGGTCGTCATTACCACTACAGCAAGAAGCAGGGCACGCCTGCGCACGCACAGGAGCACCGCGGAGCCCTGCTGAAGAGCAAAGCAGGCCCGACAGAGGCGGAAAGAGGCAGGCCAGGGGTCCTGGGAAGCAGGAACTTTGAGTTATCCTCTTACTTAATACGTTCCAGTGGCCTTGATATCTGGTCCACATGAACACCACCTAAAGAAATTAATCTATTAATAATTAACAGATCATTAATATAACTACTCACTTTGGGGCTACAGATATGGCTGTTCTGTCTTAGAGTGTTACTGGCAAATGGAGAGGGTTTGATACATTTTTTTAATTATTGAACTGAGAACAGGAAAGGCTATACCTGCTGTTGGTTAATTCAGCTGGTTAAAATACCATGATTAGTGAGGTAAAGGTACCAGGTTCAATCTTTGAACAGATAAGTTAATTCTGCTCTGATCCTTGACCATGTATGCATCATACACTTTCTTAGCTGGTTATGTCACCAGGGTGCTTTAAAAAAAAAAAAAAAAGGCATAAACACATCACCAATATCCCAAGAGGGATTCAGAACACAGAATGCTGCTCCATTCACATCTTCTTCAAGTAAAGAATGAAAGCATGCCACTGCCTGCACCCCTCAAAACGCAGTTCAGTGGTTTTCTCACCAACCTCGGTTTATCGGCTCACTGCAGACCAAGACTCTCCATTCCTAAACCACTCTGACCAAGGCCCACATCTGCACTCCCCAGTGCACTGGGACACTTCGGACCCCACTGCTGAGCTGAATGCTTACCAGGAATCAGCTGCATTTCTCCACAAATCTATTTGATACCAACTGCACTTGTTACTGTATTTGGCTTACCTAATTAAATAGCACATAAACGGACAAAATGAGTTTCTGTGAAGCTAAGCTGAACAGCCTGAAACACTCAGTCAAGATATAGAAAAAGTCCTTGTCAGATCAGGGGGTATCCTGAACCATTGTGTAAGATCAAAAACAAATGAAAAATTCAGAGGTACATCACTTCACACGCCTTTAGGGTCTCATCACACGTAAGAGACCCAGACTGGCAACTGTAAATTATGCTTCTTGAAGATGGCTGTGCAAGAAAGATGATTCCACTCAAACCAATGAACCAATACTCTTAAGCCTACAGGCCTACATCTTCTTATTGGCAATTCGGTGCATGGTAACAGTATTTTGAGTAAATTCAAATATTTAAAAGGGTGGTTACATATTATCTTTTTCACAATTCCCTACTTCTAGTGACAATTTTGATGGCTGACAATTGGTTTTCTGATACCATCCAGAAGACCATTTATGTTTTGAATAACCGGACTGCTTCAGACTCTCAGTCAGCGAGGCTGTGGTATCTGTGAAATGCTGCAGAGGCACTGAAGCCATCCTCTCTGAGCACAGCAGACCCTTCCCGAGTACTTTATAGGACCCATCACTGAACCTCCTAAGATTACCACTGCTGCTCAGATCACACAGAACGGAAACAGTGAGACTCAGAGGTGTTAAGTAGCTTGTCATCGATGACACAGCAGGACAGAACCAGGATAGGATTTTGGGCCATCTAACCCCACTTTCTTCATCACTTACCTGCCAATACATTATTGTCTTATCTACACTGAAAGGAAATAAGCAAGCTACAGAACGGCAATGTGCAGAACAAGCTCACTGACTCTGAGTAAATGAATTAAAAACAACAGGAAAGCTATAAATCAAAACATTCATTAGGGTCATCCCTGAATCACACAGTTACAGCTGATATTAGTTTTCACCCTTGTGATTTTCTTAGCTTTCAAAATATCTGCAATGAAAAAAAAGGGTTATGTGGTGGGCTGTACTTTTCACTGTATATGCAGGGAAATTTTCAACAGACCTTAACTATTAAACAGCATCAGGTTGTTTTTCCTTTAAGCAACTATTAAAACATCAAAGGTGGGGGGGGGGTGAGGGTAGAAATAGTATTTACCACTGTTCTAGAAATTTCTCCTTTAGGATGTATAAAACACATTAGACCCTTCTTTACTGTATTTAACACAGAAGTAGTTATAAAACCGTAAAACAAAATGAGAAGCCCAACAATCATTTTAACACAGATATTCAACAGCTTTCTACAAGGAAAAAAAGGCTATGCAGTACAATTGTAGCTATCATTTCATTACCTTTTCTGTAAACAAGTCTGCTGACAACAACAATAGTTATTATACTATCATGCCTTCTAACTGGGTCTGGAGTGAAGTCAGTAGGATCTACAGCATTAGGAATGACGGATACTATTTCAGGATTCAGTGCTGCTCTTAGCACAGTGTTTTCCTTACTAGTGTAAGAGACACAAATTATGTGGTTTGTGTCACAAAGAGACACAGTTAGAAGCTTGTTTGTAAGCACCGAGCTGACATCAGCAAATCCGAAAAGGGAATGGTCCGTGAAGACTGTCTGGAGGCCCATTGTCTTGGCGTGGAAGAGGGCATCATGGGCCATGGCAGAAAAGGAACTATGTGAATGGATTATCGTGACTCTCTCCCGAACAAATATGTACCTGAGCAATGGCAGACTGTGAAAGAGGGTCGTGGCTGTAGATTGGTTGTACATGACTTTCAGAGGCAAGTAATAGACTTTGAGGCCATTAGTGAGGTAACGGACGCCTTTGCGATTTCCGTAAGCATGGGTGACAATTATGACCTTGTGCCCTCTTTCGATCAGGCACTGAGAGAGCTGGTAAATGTGACTTTCCACGCCTCCCATGTTTGGGTAGAAAAAGTCCGACACCATGCATACATTATGGGCACAGGTCCTAAATGTGTGAAGACTTCCAGGGATGACACAGGAGAGTGATGCTGAGGAAGGCTGGCCATGCCCACCTCTTCCTCTACAGGCCATGCTGAGATGGTTTAGGCATTAGTCCTTAGAGCAACCCAGTTAAGACAAGTGTCCTCTAGTACCTGAAAGAGAGAGTAGACAGGATCTCAGCTCAGAGACAAAATGCATTCCGCACTCCAAATCCAGACATACATATCGTTTTAATGTTAATGTAAATTTGTTAGCTCTTTCCCTAGAAATAAAACATACAATGAATTCATGCATTTGACAGCATTTACTTGCATACCATTTACTGTGGGCCATACAACAAAACTAGACACTGCAATGGTCCTCATATCTTAATTTTGATCTAAGAATACCACTACACATAATTTTAAATAATTTTTGTTACCAAAGTATAATAATACTTTGCCGTACTAACCAAGCAGTTTATCCTGACAATTAGACATGCAACTCTTTACAGAAAAGGCTTGCTAACCTCACTTCGGAGCTTAAGCCATTGACTCAATGAATCCCATCAAGTTCGCTAGTATTAACTCTGTAATTTACACTAAAATATATCCAGAGTAAGAACCGTCTTTTCAGAGTAACTTTTTAAAGTATTACTTGGTAGCACATGCCAGACCTCACTTTGCCCTTCCTTATTCAAAAACAGTGATAATCAAACCGTTCCTTTCATTTCTTAAAACTTTCGGTTATGTACATCTTCCCTCAACGAATGACCCTTTCTTCAGTTTGGAATCTAAAGATAAAAACTAGAGATGGGCTAGATCTGGGGCCATTTTCTACATCTGAAGTAGGAAATGTTCAGCTAAGGGGTCCCGAGATCATCAGTGCAAAATACCCACTAAACATTCAATATGACTACAGATTCTTAAGACTTTTAACGTAAAGAGAAAGCAAGTGAAACTCATCCTCAGCTTTTACAAATGTGAATTCCATGCCTCCAGAAACTCAACTATACAATGGGAAGCCATTCTAAATGTCTGAGTTTCTGATTCACCATAAACTCAGAAAATGCAAAGCAACAGCTTGTGCAAAATCTATTCTCTCCAACAAAGTCATCTTTATTTTAAACACAGTCTCAGAAATACTCAGTAAGTGTTTGTTGAGCTGAATTTACTAATTAAGATTCAATATTACCAAATCAAGAGATAAGTTTGTACTGTTAAGTAGCTTCAGTAACGTTTTCTTACTGTGGTTTCTTACTTAAACCTGAATTTCCAGTTCCATTCAATTTTAAAAGATGAATGATAACGAAAACAGTGAGTAAAGAACCAAATGAAATGATTTAAAGCTCTGTCATTAACCTGCAATGTTCTGTAAGCAACCTGTCTATCAGGGTATCACGCCTAACACCTTCATGGCATAAAAGCACAACAAACGGTACAAGCACAAAATCTTAAGATTTTAAAGCTGAAGAGAAGCTTGGAGATCTAGTGAAACAACTCTCTTATTTTCCAAATGACAAGTTGAGCGATTTGTCCAAGGTCCCCACTCAGCCACTTAAGTGGCAAATGCGAGATGGCCGTAAAATCCACAGCCACAGTCAATGAGTCCCTGGACAGTCATCATCAGCAGACTTCTGAGAAACCTTAGAGGGGCCCTGGGGGCGGGGAGGATTGAGGCAAGAGCACCGTGTTTCCAACCCAACCCCCGGGCGCCGTCCGGCTTCACTTTCTGAGGTCGCCGGGGAGCGCCAGGGCCAAGGAAGAGATGACTCCACCTCAGTCAGCGACCCCGCGCGGGGTCTCGCCAGGACCCAAGGGAGGAAGACGGCCAGAAAGTGAGCAGGAAACCGAGGCCGAGGGTCCCGGAGCCGTTCGTCCCGCCCGCCTCAGCCGACAGGGAACCGGCTACAGTGCGGCCGCCTCAGCGCACCCTCAGCCCCACTCGACTCCCGAGCCCCTCGACCCCGAATTCTGAGCCTCAAGCTGGGTCGGCTTCTCCCCCTCCATCACCGGCTATGCTCCCCTGAGGACAGCCCAGTCCCAATTTGGAAGATGGAGAGAGGACCGGCGACGGGAAGTCAGACGCGTACTTACCGGCAAGTCCCATGGCCGCCAGTGTCCGGACCTCCCGCGGCTGCAGCCGGAGTCCCACCCAGCAGCTCCGAGGCACCAATCAAGGGCGTCCGCGCGCGAGCGCCGCACCTACAGGACAGCCAATCAAAAAGAGGAACTGGAGTCACGCGCAGGAGCGACTCCCCGCCCATCAGCGTGCGATGTAACGTCAGCACGCGCCTACACGTGTCACCACGATGTTCCGGAAGACTTGTTTTCTCTGTATTGAAAGCAGTAATGCTCGGTTTAACCTTTTATGTTAATTCTTAATGTTACGGTTCTCTAAAAATCGGCCTTGGTCTCTTGCTACACAAGCAACCCACCAGGACTCTTCAACCGGGTAAAACCAGCACTCCCTAGCGTGCCTCGCAGCGACCCATTGGCGCTCCTGGGAGTTGTAGTCCCGTGGCCTTTGGAGGCGAATCCGAACTTAGAAAACTCACTCCCAGGATGCACCGCACGTCTAACCCGAATCTAGCGGATGGTCAGGTGAGTTCGCGCCGTGGTTGCCTAGATACGGTGTCTCTTTTCTGGACGCCTGTTCGCTCTGGCTTCCAGTTAGACTTTGCGCTGGCTGGGATGGCTGCAGAAAACTGGGGTCATGGTTGCGTTTTGTTTTTTGTTTATCATCTCTGCTACAGAAGCTCCGCCAGGTTTTTACCACTCTGGTAGGATTGCCTGATGTAGTGAGTAAAATACACAAAAAGTCAAAGTTTTTAATAATTTGAATTTCAGATAAATAATGTTTATGTAAGTATGTCCTAAATATAAGGGACTTTACTAAAAGGTTATTTATCGTTTATCTGAAATTCAAAAGTTAACTGGACATCTTGTATTTTATGTGGCAACCCTCCACTCTGAAGGAAAAAAAATCTGAGACCTGAAATAGCAACTCCCACTCAGACTGGTTCAGCAGGCCATGGTGGTGCTTGGCCAAGAGGCTAATGAATCAGTGGGAGTAGTCTGATGATCATCTATCCACTCCTCACCGTTGGTACGTGGTGTTCACACCCGAGGAAATGCCTTCCTGAGCACCATCACCACCGTCGTTACCAGCACTCATTTTAAGCCTGTAGAAAGGCTATTCATCCCTGAAGATTTCACCTCCTTTCCCAAATCTCTAGAGGGAATTAAATCCTCCCTCTTTTGTATTTTGACAGTACTTTGGCTATATGCTGGTATAGCATTTATCAGGTGATATTCAAATTGTTTGCCTGTCCTCCTGCCCCACCCCTCCACCTGGCCTTCTTCCTCAGCCTAATCCTGGGAGACTTGTGTCTTCTTGGGATCTCGCATGGATTTCTTTCTGAAAATTGGCATTTATATTTGCTTGTTAGTAAGCAGAGGCAAGGTCTGTTCCTGGTACTAGAAATCGAGTAAGTTTTAGTTGTGTTAATGAATTTATTTATTATTGCCTGCACAATTTCTGACATATATACGCTATTGAATCTATTGAAGAATTGACTCATTTGAAAAGACCCTGATGCTGGGAAAGATTGAAGGTGTGGGGGAGAAGGGGAAGACAGAGGATGAGATGGTTGGATGGCATCACCGACTCGATGGACATGAGTTTGAGTAAACTCCGGGAGTTGATGATGGACAGGGAGGCCTGGCGTGCTGCAGTCCATGGGGTTATAAAGAGTCAGACACGACTGAGCAACTGAACTGACTGACTGAATGTATTGAAAAAATTCCAAGGGGTGTACCTTAAAAAAGTACAGGGAACTGATATAATTCATAGAGCACTTTGGGTGTAGACTTTGAAATGTATTAATGATTTAACTTTAATGAATAAGGCTCAAGTGAGAATAGATATTCTGCTCTGTGTTTATATTGAAGCATCAGAGAATAAAAGTTATGGAAGACCCAAGGATACTTCTGCAAGCTTAATAATTTGCAGTTGGTTTCCCAGATAAGACCAACAGTACCAGGTGCTACAGCATTGTTTTGGTCGTCTTTTTCATGTTTGCAATAGGTAGTGAGAAAATAGGCTTCCCTGGTTGCTCAGTGGTAAAGAATCGGTCTGCCACTGCAGGAGACATGTGCTCTATCCCTGGGTTGGGAAGATCCCCTGGAGAAGGAAATGGCAACCCACTCCAGGATTCTTGCCTGGGAAATCCCATGAACACAGGAGCCTGGCGGGCTACAGTCCATGGGGTCGCAAAAGAGTCGGACATGACTTAGCCACTAAGCAACAACAATCAAGACAATAACTATTGGATAGAAATCCTGGAACATATAAGTGAAGGTTAATCCTCATTTGTTGATCTCCTGGCTTGCCACTGCTATAGTTCTTATTACAATGTTGTTCAATCGCTAAGTTGTGTCTGACTCTTTGAGACCCCCATGGACTGAAGCACACTAGGCTTCCCTGTCCTCTGTCTCCTGGAGTTTGCTCAAATTCATGCCCATTGAGTTGGTAATGCTATCTAACCATCTCATCCTCTGCCTCCCTCTTCTTTTGCCTTCAGTCTTTCCCAGCGTCAGGATCTTTTCCAGTGAGTCGGCTCTTCGCATCAGGTGGTCAAAGGATTGGAGCTTCAGCATCAGTCCTTCCAATGAATATTCAGGGTTGATTTCCTTTAGAATTGATTTCCTTTAGGATTGACTAGTTTGATCTCCTTGCAGTTCAAGGGATTCTCAAGAGTCTTCTCCAGCACCACAATTCAAAATCATCAATTCTTCAGCACTCAGCCTTCTTTATGGTCTGACTCTCACATCCATACATGACTGCTGGAAAAACCATAGCTTTGACTAGACAGACCTTTGTTGGCAAAGTGATGGCAATTCTACTGTGAGTCTTCTAAGATCCTGATGCCAATCAATACTCCTTCAAAAAACTTGAGTTATTTTCAAAGGAGAATAAATATTTTCTATCTTTATCATCAAACATTTACCGAGTGCCTACTCTGTCAAAGGTTTTGTGGGGAATACAAGGAATATTAAACATAGTGTGTTTTTAAAACTTTTTGTCTTTTTCAGCTTTTATATAATTTTCATCAATGGTAAAAAGCAATCCACTTTTCTTAAAAGTTTCTTTGTATTTTAAATACTGTAGAATAGGCTGACCTTTATAAATAGATATTAATACAGCCATGCTGTTTCCAAGTCTCTGTGGTGGAGGGGGTTGAGAAACCTGCAGGCTGTGCCAATGAAGTTTACAGTTCCAACAAAGTCTGAAAACATTGAACATCATGTTCATCTCTTATCTAGGCACTTAGCATTAAAAGGCAAATAAATCATGATTCTGTAC